CACACACACTCACACACACTCACTCACTCACTCACACACTCACTCACTCACTCACTCACACACACACACACACACAAACAGAGGAATAGCTTGGTTCATATCTAAAAAACATGATGCATTACCATATAACCATGCATTCACGTTAATCTAAGGTAATTCAAAGAATACCATAATATTACCATAGTACTTTATGTTTCAGATCATTTGTTACTATAGAAATATCATATGCACACTCACTCACACACACACAATGTCTCAATAATGTCTTATTGAACGATCACCAATAGATCAATAAACGCGGATAAATTCAGATGTTTTCAATTCGACTTCCGTAGCCGCTGTGTTTGTTAGCCTCTGTGCTAACCCATCGGATACGAGTCAATGAAGCTTTAAATCCTAACACAAACTTCCACATTCATATTTACATGTCCATTTTACGCCCTTAGACAATTTATATGCAAATTACACTCATTGTATCCCAGAGGGCGAAACGCTACAGTCTATTAGCAACTCGCAAGCTATTTTGCCGCGAATCAATCAGATACATGTTTGTTTGGCAGCTGATTTCGGTCTCACGGAGGCTTCAAAACAAACTAATGACAGCTGTCACTCATCTGCCACCGCTGATCATGCGATCATCAAACTAAATAACCTTTAAATCAAATAGTTAGTGTTAAAAAGCTAGTAGCAGGCCGCAATGCGGGGCTGTGGCGGTGTCTCAAAAGCCACTACGCTCGCTTACTAGATAGCGCACTTGGATTCAAGACGAAGCTGCATGGATTCTGCTAACATGTTCCGTGTCCCCTTTGCCTCAAAGTAAACTACAATGCCCTAAAGTGCTGTCTACGTAGGCAGCTAGCTAGGTTTTAGAGCGCGGCCCACGTGACAGTTATCCGAACCGAACACAGAGACATATGAATAAACCGCGCTACCTGATTCAGTTCACATATCAATCAAGTCGGTGATTTTGCGGGGAAAGCGGGTTTGATCGAGCAGCATGTTTGTCGGTACACCCGATGAGATCAGATCCGCGTCTCCATCGTCTGCACGGGCGGCGGGGGTTTGGCTCCGGCTGCAGTGGCTGATGTGAACGAATCGTTCGTTTGAACCGATTCTCCCAAATGATTCAATCGCACAGATTCACCCGCGTTTGTAAATCACTCGACTCTGTGCCAGTGTTGAGCAACTTTTCAGACTACCCTAGCAACTTTTTCTTCCAAAAGCACCTAGCAACAAATTTAGCTATTTTTATTATTTATTTGGCAGCTTTTAGCAACTTTTGATAAGTGACTCAAACGATAAAAAGGCACAATTTACCATTTAAATTACACAAAAAGAGGAAACCAAAGATGCATAGCAGTACACACGCTACAGGAATTAAGTTAGCTGCTATTTGCAATTGTTTAATAGTAATAATAATAATAATTGAATACTGTTATTTTTCATTTATGAGACACTTTGTTAGTAGCTTGTACCTGTTGATGAGTATTAGTACACAGCAGGAAAAATATGCAGAAAAATGGAAAAGGTGCTAGTAATTTTCCAGGTCATTATCTGTTATAACACAAAATACAATGCGTAATTAAAAATGCAGGTACAAAAACATGTGGAAAAATCAATCCAGAAAATTCCTTCATATTAACACCATTGCATTATTTTTTTACTTTTCTTAGAGTGCAGCATCCTAACTAACTACTAATAAACCACTTTAAAGTATAAAACTTAAATTGTTTTCGATAATTCAATGCATTTAAAAATAGTTATTTATATTTTAATATTATATTATGCACACTCACTCACTCACTCACTCACACACACACACACACACAAACAGAGGAATAGCTTGGTTCATATCTAAAAAACATGATGCATTACCATATAACCATGCATTCACGTTAATCTAAGGTAATTCAAAGAATACCATAATATTACCATAGTACTTTATGTTTCAGATCATTTGTTACTATAGAAATATCATATGCACACTCACTCACACACACACAATGTCTCAATAATGTCTTATTGAACGATCACCAATAGATCAATAAACGCGGATAAATTCAGATGTTTTCAATTCGACTTCCGTAGCCGCTGTGTTTGTTAGCCTCTGTGCTAACCCATCGGATACGAGTCAATGAAGCTTTAAATCCTAACACAAACTTCCACATTCATATTTACATGTCCATTTTACGCCCTTAGACAATTTATATGCAAATTACACTCATTGTATCCCAGAGGGCGAAACGCTACAGTCTATTAGCAACTCGCAAGCTATTTTGCCGCGAATCAATCAGATACATGTTTGTTTGGCAGCTGATTTCGGTCTCACGGAGGCTTCAAAACAAACTAATGACAGCTGTCACTCATCTGCCACCGCTGATCATGCGATCATCAAACTAAATAACCTTTAAATCAAATAGTTAGTGTTAAAAAGCTAGTAGCAGGCCGCAATGCGGGGCTGTGGCGGTGTCTCAAAAGCCACTACGCTCGCTTACTAGATAGCGCACTTGGATTCAAGACGAAGCTGCATGGATTCTGCTAACATGTTCCGTGTCCCCTTTGCCTCAAAGTAAACTACAATGCCCTAAAGTGCTGTCTACGTAGGCAGCTAGCTAGGTTTTAGAGCGCGGCCCACGTGACAGTTATCCGAACCGAACACAGAGACATATGAATAAACCGCGCTCAGTTCACAAGTTCACATATCAATCAAGTCGGTGATTTTGCGGGGAAAGCGGGTTTGATCGAGCAGCATGTTTGTCGGTTGAGATCAGAGGGAAAGCGGGTTTGATCGAGCAGCATGTTTGTCGGTACACCCGATGAGATCAGATCCGCGTCTCCATCGTCTGCACGGGCGGCGGGGGTTTGGCTCCGGCTGCAGTGGCTGATGTGAACGAATCGTTCGTTTGAACCGATTCTCCCAAATGATTCAATCGCACAGATTCACCCGCGTTTGTAAATCACTCGACTCTGTGCCAGTGTTGAGCAACTTTTCAGACTACCCTAGCAACTTTTTCTTCCAAAAGCACCTAGCAACAAATTTAGCTATTTTTATTATTTATTTGGCAGCTTTTAGCAACTTTTGATAAGTGACTCAAACGATAAAAAGGCACAATTTACCATTTAAATTACACAAAAAGAGGAAACCAAAGATGCATAGCAGTACACACGCTACAGGAATTAAGTTAGCTGCTATTTGCAATTGTTTAATAGTAATAATAATAATAATTGAATACTGTTATTTTTCATTTATGAGACACTTTGTTAGTAGCTTGTACCTGTTGATGTGTATTAGTACACAGCAGGAAAAATATGCAGAAAAATGGAAAAGGTGCTAGTAATTTTCCAGGACATTATCTGTTATAACACAAAATACAATGCGTAATTAAAAATGCAGGTACAAAAACATGTGGAAAAATCAATCCAGAAAATTCCTTCATATTAACACCATTGCATTATTTTTTTACTTTTCTTAGAGTGCAGCATCCTAACTAACTACTAATAAACCACTTTAAAGTATAAAACTTAAATTGTTTTCGATAATTCAATGCATTTAAAAATAGTTATTTATATTTTAATATTATATTATGCATTTATATTGTTACGAACAAATCTAAATTAACATATATAAAATATATACAGTATATATGTTTTTGCTGAGATTTGACGATTTTGCATCGTGATTACGTAATGACGTCATCACGCAATGTCATCACAACATCATTTAGCAACTTTTAAGATACATTACGCTACAGGAATTAAGTTAGCTGCTATTTGCAATTGTTTAATAGTAATAATAATAATAATTGAATACTGTTATTTTTCATTTATGAGACACTTTGTTAGTAGCTTGTACCTGTTGATGAGTATTAGTACACAGCAGGAAAAATATGCAGAAAAATGGAAAAGGTGCTAGTAATTTTCCAGGACATTATCTGTTATAACACAAAATACAATGCGTAATTAAAAATGCAGGTACAAAAACATGTGGAAAAATCAATCCAGAAAATTCCTTCATATTAACACCATTGCATTATTTTTTTACTTTTCTTAGAGTGCAGCATCCTAACTAACTACTAATAAACCACTTTAAAGTATAAAACTTAAATTGTTTTCGATAATTCAATGCATTTAAAAATAGTTATTTATATTTTAATATTATATTATGCATTTATATTGTTACGAACAAATCTAAATTAACATATATAAAATATATACAGTATATATGTTTTTGCTGAGATTTGACGATTTTGCATCGTGATTACGTAATGACGTCATCACGCAATGTCATCACAACATCATTTAGCAACTTTTAAGATACATTATGTGTAATGTATGCAAAGTTGTTATTCATTAATGTCAATTGAATTTTTTGCAATAAAAATTTTTTTTTGCAACTTTTAGCAACAAATCAACCTTCCTTTAGCAACTTCCCCTGAAAATTAGTTGGCAGCACTGCTCTGTGCTGTGAGGTGAATGTTGGAATCATAAACAACGGCACAATATTGTCTCTCAGGTAAGAAATAAAACACAAGCACAGTGCCAATATCAAACAGTATCACAATCACGCCACTAAATACAGTTAAAAAGGCCAAGTTTGCATGTTTTGTGGAAATTTCTGCGTTTTACAAACAGACAAACACACTTGCAGTACACACCGGATCCAGTACGTATTCAGACCAGATGGTGGATCAGCATCGTGATTACGTAATGACGTCATCACGCAATGTCATCACAACATCATTTAGCAACTTTTAAGATACATTATGTGTAATGTATGCAAAGTTGTTATTCATTAATGTCAATTGAATTTTTTGCAATAAAAATTTTTTTTTGCAACTTTTAGCAACAAATCAACCTTCCTTTAGCAACTTCCCCTGAAAATTAGTTGGCAGCACTGCTCTGTGCTGTGAGGTGAATGTTGGAATCATAAACAACGGCACAATATTGTCTCTCAGGTAAGAAATAAAACACAAGCACAGTGCCAATATCAAACAGTATCACAATCACGCCACTAAATACAGTTAAAAAGGCCAAGTTTGCATGTTTTGTAGAAATTTCTGCGTTTTACAAACAGACAAACACACTTGCAGTACACACCGGATCCAGTACGTATTCAGACCAGATGGTGGATCAGCACCTAGAAAGGACCTCCACAGCCCTGAAAGACAGCGGAGACCAGGACAACTAGATGAGCCCCAGATACAGATCCCCTGTAAAGACCTTGTCTCAGACGGCCACCGGGACAAGACCACAGGAACCAGATGAGTCCTCTGCACAATCTGACTTTGCTGCAGCCTGGAATTGTACTGCTGGTTCGTCTGGTCAGAGGAGAACTGGCCCCCCGACTGAGCCTGGTTTCTCCCAAGGTTTTTTCTCCATTCTGTCACCGATGGAGTTTTGGTTCCTTGCCGCTGTCGCCTCTGGCTTGCTTAGTTGGGGGCACTTCATCAATTCCATTGATTGCAAAGATATTATTTAAACTGAGCTGGATGTTGACATCACTGAATTCAATGATGAACTGTCTTTAACTGAAAAATTAGTGTTTACTATTGTCATTTTGCATTATTGACACTATTTTCCTAATTAATGCTGTTCAGTTGCTTTGTCACAATCTGTATTGTTAAAAGCGCTATATAAATAAAGGTGACTTGACTTGCGAAAAGGTTCAGAGGCGTCAGACAGTACATGGTAATTACATGAATATAATTATATTTAATATTAGCATATTCATGAGATGGCTTAAATGCATGATGAAATTAGCATAACGTGTCTACATGTTCAAAACCTGTGCATTTCATGGTAGAAAAACATGTTTAAAACGTTTTACATTTGATCATTTAGACGCTTTTATCCATTTAAGCGACTTGAGAGTAAAGAAACAATCAAAACAACAAGAGAGCAACAATATATACTTGTTTTATTCGTAAAATACCAAATCTGTTGGCATCTCATTTGGAATATGTATCTTTCTGTGAGTGATAACTCAAACGAGTCGGCGAATCGTTTGTATTGAACCGGTTCTTTAAAACGAAGCATCCGAGCGAATCGATTTGTTCAAATGAATCTGCATGGCTCCTCCTCCAAACTTCGGAGGAGGA